TCTTACACACTCTACTTAAGAAGCTGTAGAAGTTCCTATAAAGTGTGAATAAATTGAAAACTTAAAACGCATTTTCTGAAAATTCGCTTTATATGCCTGTCTGCCATCAAATGAGCGATATGTTGTGTACCATATAATGAAAATATATTTAATGTCCCATTAAAACATCTTTTTAAAATGTATTTACAAAATTTAACACTAGATTGTCGAAGACGGTCATTTTGGCCGTTTTTCAATTTCAAGTACAAAAATAATTGTGTATATTATGACACAGCTTTTAAAAATTTGGTCACTACGTTTATTAATCATAGTAGCTGTTTCTCCCCTCTTTTATTCCCCGTATTCACATGTGCTATACCTATATTGCCTAAAATCGGTCATTTTGACCTCTTGTGAAATATATAATAATCTAACTACTTTTATTATTGTATAAAGTAAATTTCTTATATGACCAGATCAGTACAACAACATAAAACCCCGTTTGCTACTCCAGAAACACAAACGAACACAAAAATCGGGAAAAATAAATTTTATATTTCCAGTCGATTTCACTCTTAAACACTTGCACTTTCTCGAACATTTTGTCCGTGCTCTTAATTTATAAAAAGGGAGACTCGAGAGCCCTTCGACTGAAAACATATAATAACAACATTTTGTATGATTGTAAATAATGTAAAAATATTAAAAAATAATTTAAAAAAATTCTTTACACAATATAAATTCTTTCAGAATAAGGTCATTTTGACCGATCTTAGGCAATATAGGTATATTCAAAATTCCAGTCTTTCTAGTGTTAAATATAATTATTTAAATTCTTGGAATGTGGGTATTATCCTTAAATTATATTTATGTACGGTATAAGAGCTATATCATAAATGTTAATTTTTATGGAATTCACCTTTTTCCCGTTAGTCTCCATATCCTTTTGACTGGACCAACAAAAGTTGTTATGTGTACTTAAATTCCAATTAAAAACTTTCAAATATAGTTTTCTAATAGCTGCAATCTCTTGGTCTTATGTGCTCTTTCAATATGCATTAAATGGCGAGTGTGTATGTATGTATGTGCTGTTTATATGTGGGTATCTCTATATAACTAACTCTATGTGTTGTCTTAATATGCGGAAAGGTATTTAAATGTAATTGCCCTTTTTCGGTTTTACAATCCAATAGTAATTCCATTGTAATCCAATTTAGTTCAAATGATGATAAGGGATTGTGTTAAAGTTTGTTTTTTATAATATTTAATATAAGTGGTATTCTATGCTGATATCTCTATTTATTAAGGGATTTATTGAAACATAAAATATATGTTTCGTAATTATTTTTTTGAGTTAAACAAATTGTATAGAGCATTTAAGTCCCTCTTTTTAAAAGATATACAAAAGATAAATAATTCACAGAACTTTCTAAGTTCTAATAAGAACAAGATATACCGAAAATAAAAATTGTGAAAATCAATTAGAAGGATATTGAATATAACATAGGTAACTTGTTGTTATTCTAATTATGCTGGTTTCTTGAAATCAAAATTCTTAAAAATACACCCAGTCATTACAGTTAATCCAAAACCTGATTATGGTGTACTTTTTTTCCAAATCGGATTTGAATCTGTATTTTTTCATAAGAGTATTGTATATATGGAAAACTATATACATATCTTGTTTTTATTAATGAAAACTCATAAGAAAAACAAATACATTTTACATATCAAAGAAAAAAACATCATCACCATGACACAAAGAACGACCAAGAAAAACACACTTTCACACAACTCATTTGAAGTACCATCATTGTTGCAAAGTACACATTTCCAAAGACTTTTTTCTTTCATGTGTAGTAAGTGCAACATGCTTGTTAATGGGAAGATGGGTTGATGTAAATAGAAACGTTTGTGTGTTTTTTTAGTTTGTTCTGAGAATTCTCTTGAAATACATATTGGTATAAGGTCGAGAAAATAATTATATTTCGTTTCATTCGATGAAGTACTGCCTTTTTTTGGGTAGTAACTATTTCAATTTGTTTGTTCTTTATATTTTATAAAAAAAACATCTACATACGTTTGACCTAAAATTTTAAGAATGTATATAATATGATTTTTTAGAGGATTCTATCCATATTGATATGTTGTTGTAAAAACAGAAGATTCAAGGAGAATTTCTGTATTTAAAACTCAATAGGAAATGTGAAAAAACATTACCGAAATATGTTCTGATATTTAAAAACAAATGTTCTTACTAATCTTTGTACATCATCGTAATTTCATGAAACATAGATGCGAATATGAATTAAGTTATTCCCTGTGAAATCCACACTTAAAAATTCGTAACATAAGTACATTAAAAAACTCTAACATATACAATGGACTCCATTGTCTTAAGAATCATCAGAATCAGAATTATGTGCAATTTTTTGAGAAGAAATTAAAAAAAATAGTTGTTAAATTTCATGAGAATCACTTTTAAAACGCAACTAACGTATTTCCGAGACTTCATCCCAATCCTTGAAAATAATCTATTCTGAATCTATGAAGACTGATTTTACAGTAAAATATTGATCTAGGCTTCTTTTTATATTTACCAAATTGTAATCTACGATCAAGCTTAGTACAGCTCACCTAGTTCACAAGATTTTTTTTTCCAAATGGTTGGTGCGTGTGTTTGAGTGCATAATTGACTGACAATGAGTGGAAATATATTTTTTATGAAAACATTCAAGATTCCATTCATAATTTCATTTTTCCCCCTACAATAGACACGAGCACACAAACCAACAAACATAATCACTTATGTAATATAAACAGTTTTAGTGGTCCGTTACCCAAACTGCCAAAATTAAAGTAGTGAGGACACATGACCACAGCCCGGCCTACCATTTATCCACACATACGAGTATTCGTATACCCCCGGGCGTATGAGTCTTATTGTTTTGTATTGCTTGCTGTTGTTCTTGTTTTTATATTTGTGCGGCTGGCTTGATTGTATTCTCGCTCTCTAACTGGTTATTATATTCAATGAGATTTATGAGGATATTTACCGTCTTATTAAGTATTATAGCCTATAACTGTTTACATGAAATCGAATTTTCTATTTCAACAGCCGACTCACCACCCACCCTTCCTGAGGAGGTTACCTGCCTTTTGCCACGTTTATACCCTCATCTACTATGTATTAAATTAAGACTATTTGTCTAAAGGAACTGTGGCAGCCGTTCTGGTCCGGTACTATGGACTATTACAACTTCCGTTATTATTTGCAAAATAATCATCAGCAAATTTCGTTATCGTTTATTTCTTACCTCACTCTCATACAAATTATTTCGATCGCCCTGCTTCTTGTTTTGGCTTCCCTATGTGGACACGGGCTAAAAACTACACGTTTCACTATTAGACAGTGTTAACGAATTTACTCTCTCCAGTGGTGTGTTTGTAGTTTCTGTTTTTTGGGGGATTTTGGTTGGTTCTCTGAAGCTATTTGTACATGAAATTTATTAAAGATAATGACCCAAGTGTCTTTTGTAGTGGCTGGCCGTGGTGTGGCAATACCACTAATACCTATGTAATAAAAATAGATGTATATGACGTGAGTGTATGGGAGGGGAGAAATACGATATTACACGATGAGTTGGTGCATATCTCTATCATAATAACACGATTTTGTGTTCCGTTGTACATGTAGGGTGTAATCTTAAGTCCAAAGGGACTATAAAGACATATTTCGGTTTTGACTCACAAAAGAGTTAAACTGTCAAGTTCTACAGAGAAATCTGGTGTACAAGCAAAATTATGTAAACCAGAAATAGTTTCAAATACTTTCCCAGAATTCGTTCTGTTTCTTGACGAACAGAATTGTTCGTCTGTGATATTTAATGTATACGAATATTAATAATCATTTGAACAAAATTATTAATAATCATTATTGAACATTATTTTCAAGATATTTTATATTTAACAACATCTTTGTAACATCATAAAAAATGCATGTTCAATTTCTGAGGGCAGTCTACATCAGTGACCGAACTCCTTAGTTTATATAATGGCTAAAATCAGTATTTGAGAAAATCAATGTAGAATAAAATATCAGGCTATTGATTGCCTCAATAAAATTAACCCACAATCCCTTCAATGATGTTTTCTGACAAGTGTAAATAAAAATCAGTACAAAGCCGGAACCAAATCCTATTTAAATATCTTTGACGATATAACAGCCCTAAGATGCCTACATGGATCCGATTTTAATTACAATTAGAACAAGGTGAATCCCCTCTGAACGCCTCATGGAAATTTAACGACATACCATTAAATTACAATTATTATTTGTCATATTTCAAAAATGTTCAGAAGTAAATAAATATTACAACGTTATTTGTGATTGATTCGTTTATTGCCAAACTAATAACAATTAATGATTCCAAATTAAGCCTTTGTAATTCACATATACCTCTATGTTCGTTATGTAAATATATTAAATATAAATTATCTCTTACAATGCAAATGTAATTTATCAAAACTACACATAATTTGCAATTAAATAAATAAAATATTAATTATTTTAATTACGTTACAATTACCTTCTCGACACTGAGGTTAAATAAATAAACTAACAATTTGTTTCAAAACTGCAATTACAATGTTGGATGTCTAAATCGCCTAATAAATAAATATTTGTAGAGAACTTCTACAATTTTTTATTTATAACTTTTCAATTCCATCACAAGGATTTAATTATTTTTACCATTAGGGTTAACAAGAAAGTACTAATTCTTGTTAACCCTAATGACATTCCAATAAATAAATATTGACATTAGGATTGAGTAAATAAGCAAATAAAAACAGATATTGTATTATTATCGTTTGTGGAATAAATAGATCAATAACTAACACCTGCAAACATACTTATTCAAAGTAATATATGTGTATTTTTGTTTCAAGGCATTCCGATACTATTACTAATTTCATGATTAATATGCTTATTTTTTCCATTTCTTCTATTTACAGATGCCCACAAAGAACAAATTATGGCAGCCAATAAAGTAGTTCAAAAATATGGTGGACGCAGTGCTGCTGAGGATGGTAGCAAGGTGATATTCTATGCACCACCAGCTGGAGGTCTTAGCTCTTGCACCCCATCCTCCTCCTCCTCCAGCTCGTCCACATCATCAACGACGACAAATCAACCACGTAATGGGGCCAATCACAAAACAGTTATTAAAATTGAAAATTCCAGTGACACTCAGCAGGTGTCACATTTGTATCGTGAACGGAGTATTGAAGAAACCGAAGCTGCCCATGATCTGTTGTCACTTTCACAAAGTTTACCGCCACTCACACCACCCTGTGTGGTGACCATAATGCATCAGGATACCAATTCAAATAACAATTCTGCTGGTAAATTACAACACTACCACCACCAGCAGCAACAACAACATATGCAGGAGATATCAAGTTCTTCCAAACAAATGCACTGTGCCGCTATAATACAACCCGATAATCTGAACGTCTTCATTGATACCGACCAAAATCCAATGGCCACATCAAAGATACGTTACATCAGCAGTTCGTATGATCCCCATGGCCCGCACAATGGGGGCGTGGGTGGCAACAATTGTTCTCCATTGACACCGCCCAATTCCGATCATTCATCGGATATTGATATCGATATGTCTTCCTCATCGGAATCCGGCCATTCACAACCTCCTCATCCGGGAACAATGCACGGCTTATGGCGTTCCGAATTTATGCCCGACAATGGAAAATCCGATTTAAAAATCAGCCTCAATATAATTGATGGCCGCACTAAGGCCTGTAAGAAAAAGGGAGGAGATCAACAACCCAGCAAATCGGAGTCGACAAAAAAATCGAAACGTGGTTGTTACAAATGTTCGGAATGTGGCAAACAATATGCCACCTCCAGTAATTTGTCGCGTCACAAGCAGACTCATCGTTCCCTGGACTCCCAATCGGCCAAGAAGTGTAACACCTGTGGCAAGGCCTATGTTTCCATGCCTGCCCTGGCCATGCATTTGTTAACGCACAAATTGTCGCACAGCTGTGAGATTTGTGGCAAGCTCTTTTCACGTCCATGGTTATTGCAGGGTCATTTGCGTTCACACACCGGCGAAAAGCCCTACGCCTGTGTTCATTGTGGCAAGGCTTTTGCGGATCGTTCCAATTTGAGGGCACACATGATGACCCATTCGGTGGATAAGAATTTCGAATGTAAACGTTGCCACAAATCATTTGCCTTAAAATCGTATTTGAATAAACATCTTGAATCGGCCTGCATCAAGGAATCGTCCGGCAGTGGCCAGCAGTCGGGTGATGATCACGATGGTGATGGAAATAAAATGGATGATGATCAGTGTTTAAGCGGTATGGCAGTGGAATCCATGTATTCGAGTGATGAAAATGATGAAGATATTATTGTAGCTTAGGAGGAGGAGGAGGTGGAGAAGGTGGGCGTTGTGCGGTAAGTCCGTGAATGTAAAAATGACTTGCAACGGAAGGGGGAAAGTGTGAAGAAAAACTCTGGATAGTATGTATGTAAAAATGCATATATAAGACCAGAATCAAACCCTACAACAATTTCAATTAAAACTCTGTAGTTTTAGATTTACACCAGACAACAATACTCAATAGTAAGCGAGATAAACAATTTGTTATAAAATGAAAATATGAAAATGTGAAAATGAGCAATTTCTAGTCATAACTTTAAAAGATTTTTATTTTTTCTTCTGTTATAAAACAGCAATTTATTTTTGGTTTAAAAGTTTTGCAAGTTATAAAAAAGGTATAAATATGATGAATTAAATATCATCAGAGGGGAGGAGTTGTGGGCGACATGTAAAAGTATTGCAATGTTGTGACATTTCCATCCTATGAGGCTATAATATCGTACATGTAATATGAAGGGGCAGTTACCAAATACGTTGAAATATGTGTCCATGTTTTGGAATGGATGCATTGGTAGAAATTGCATTTTCCAATACGTCCAATGAGTTTAATACTTGATGAATTATTTATTATTTTTTCATGTGAAACATGAAATATTTCATAGAGTTACGTTCGAACTGACGCTAGAAATTTTCCCAAAATTAATACAGATTTCTAAGGTGAGTTTGTGGAACCCCATTTTGGAATATCATATTTTATGTATTTAATTGAGTTTTACCAGGAAAACTCTCATGCAAAACTTTTTAACAAAATTTAGTTTTTATGTTATTTTTCCTTTTATTATTTATTCTTAAGCATTGCTACAAACAAGGACCCTAAAAGTGTCCAGCTAAAAAAATAATCTTCAACATTTTACTGTAGATATTTAAAAAAAAACTTGCTAAGATTGCAAAAAGAATATATTGTTAAAAGAATTATAAATCAGGCGTTAGGCCTACAAAAAATTATATATATTAAAAGAAAACACATTTTTTATAAATTATATATTTATAAACAACAAAAAATAAAATGCAAGGCAATTTTTTTATTTTTACATTATATATTAGGAGCATAGAATTAGTTACGTTTTTAAATAAGATTTAGAATTAAAAACCAATACAAACCCCTAAGCAAAGGCAAACACAAAACAACAACTTAAAGTAAAAATCCCATGCAACGAATATTATGGAACATAAGTAGAAATTCTATTTATACAAACAAAATATATAAATAAATTATTAAATTATATAATAATTATTACACTTTAATACAGACAAAGAAAAATACCAGTTAATTAAAATATGAAAACGAAAACAAACAAAAAATTATACATTTATAATTATATATATTATATACATGCATATATATAAAATATATATTTTAAAATACATTTATAGTAATAACAAAAAATTAAAAAAAATATAATTCTAAACAATTAATTACAACTCGCCAATATATAAACAAATGACATATTTCAATTCAATTGGGTAACAAAATTCCAGAGATATTTTATTTTTGATGTTATAAAACTATCCGATTTTTTATATTATATAAATAAAAATACAAAAATTTAAAATTTGGTTTAATATATTCGTATAAAAAGAAGAAGTTAAAAGATAAACGAAACACAATATTTTAAAAAATTAAATAGAATTGCCATACTTTCCATGGGAACTACAAAATTACCCATAATTTTTTATAAACAACTTAATCACTTAAATTTCTGACATCGTTAAAAATTGGGTTTTGTATAGGTTCAAGTTTTGGAATCGATTCAATATAAGGGGACTATTGTCTGTGTTTTGAAAGATAGTAAATTTTTATTTCAAACAAATTCCAGATTTCCATGAATAAAAATCCTTATCACAGAAAATGTTTAAAATACGATCAGCTTTCGAGCATTTGGGATATTTTATAAGTAGATAATACTTTTGCAATAATTCCATTTCTTGTTATAGCATCCGATTTTTAATCATTTTTCACGGCCTTTTACAGAAATTTTCGGCAGATCTTGCTGTATTCTTTTTATATTAAACCAAATTTTAAAAAGAGGTTAACAATTCCAATTTTCAAGATAAACAACATTTCATTTTATCAAAAACTGTATCTTAAATATAGAAACTAGCTCAAATTACTATAGATTTGAAATTAAAACAAAATATAAGCAACCTAAATAGAAAACCAAATCCCTCATTACAAAAAACAAAAACAATAGAAGTTGGAAATGAAGCACAAATTAGAATGCCATCAAAAAATTTAGGAATGGAAATTTACAGCTTACAGCCATATACACTTAGCATCATTTCAATTTTAAAATAGGGTCCAATAAAAACCAAGAGAATACCAAAATAAAATAGACAAAATGAAAATTTAACAAAATTTGAACGATTTAACAACAACAACAAAAAGCGTAATTATGAAGTATGAATTTCGTTTAAACAAGAATTACAATTTATTAAAATTAAAAGAATAAAACATAGAAAATTATAACGTCCATATAGAGTAGAGAGAAATAAAACCAAACAAAAAACAACAATTTGCAAACCAAAAAAATAAGAACAAACCAAACTTAACAATACTCTCCCTCTACATTGAAAATTTAACAAAAAAAAAAAATCTAAAGACTCTAAACAAAACAGTGGCGTATTACTTTAATCTAAAATTCCAAAAACAAAACAAACAAGCAAGATATAATCAATTTTCAAACTCAGATTTCTTATTACGAGTATATCCAAAATAATGATAACAACAACAGTAACAATTTAACAAGAACTAGAACAATTTCCTTTCAATTATAGAAAAAATTCAATTAGAAAATCAACTCTCCTTAAACAAACAACCAAACATAAAGAACAACAACAATCCTTAATCAAAACTAAAAAATTCTTCAAAATCTAAGAAAAAATACAGATTTTTATTGAAATATTTTGAATAAAAAAAAAAACAAAAACTAAACCGCAAAATTATGATATATAAAATATTTAAAAAAAGAACATATCAAAAGGACAATACGTATTGTATAAAAAATAATTTATAAAACCATATAAATTAACAAAAACAAATATTTATATTTAAAGACCATAACAAAAACATACATACCGAAGTATATAAACCAGATAAAAATATAAAAAAAACACAATTATTTTGTATTCATAGATGATACTATATAAAAATATGTTACTTTTGTTTAATACTTTTGGCGATTTTTAATTTAATAAAAAATAAGGATAATATTAGTTAAAGTAACAGTGATTCGATAGTTTCAAAAAATAATTTCGATTTCGTTGAAGTTCTTGAGGTGTAAATTAAAGTTTAAAATATTTCATTTTTAATTTTGTGTTGGAGGGTTGTCAGAGAAAACGATTGGTCCACATTTTGGCATACGTTCCATATAATGGTATGTAGATATATTATGTAGTTTGAATGTCGGATGGCGACAGTGACAGTTCCAAGCTTCAGTTTCAAAACAAATTTGCAAAAAATAGAAATTCTAATATTTTAATATGGTCACCTTATATTAATTTTCTTGAGATGTCGGGTGTCTAAATTATCTGAAGTGTCGCTACTTCGTACAAGTGTTTTTTTTTAATTCAAGTTTTTTGTTTAAATTTTGTTAATTATAGAACCACTGTTACAAATTTAAGTTATTATTTATTATACTAAAAATAGACAGCAACTAAAAGCAATTCTACTTTTTCTTAAAAGAAATCTCACGAAACATTTGGCAATTACAAAAAATGTGAATATTTTGAAACAAAAAAAAAACTACAATTAAATTTTAATTATAAATTGTCAATTAAAAATGATAAATTTATTTGATAATATTTTGTTTTGGTTTGTAACCCAAAGAAAAACAAAACCAGAAAAACATGAAAGCAATTATTACAAATATTTACAGCTTAAACAACAAAAAAAGCAAAACTATTTGAAAACATTTCGAACTTAAATAGAACAACGACAACGATTTAAATTTAAAATACAATACCATTTATTATTATTAATTAAAACATTGAAAAATATATTAATTATTAAACTTAAGTGGTAATTTAGGTATGTAAGTACCACAACAACAACAACAACAACAACAACCGAAACCAAATACAAACAACACAAGCATGTAAATTGAAAAAAAAAACAAAAATTAGTTTTAGTTACACACACACGGACACTGACACTCATACAAAACCAAGTAAACAAACCAAAAACAAAAAAGATGAATAAACAAAGCGAATAGATTACAATTAATTATATATTAAATTTTGATTTTTTAGATTTTTAGATTAAGCTAAAGTTAGAGGAGGCAACAACACACAACACACATATATACCTATATATTTAAATTCGAGCGAGTAGCAGCAACAATTTTGTGATTGATTAAAAATATAACCAAGAAAAAATATATAGTAGAAGAAATAAAATTAAAAAATATATACCTAAAAATATTTTTTTTAAATACCAAATATATGTTCTCATATAATTTTAATAATATTGTTTTTTTATTTTTGTATACACAATGAAATTTAATTCGAACCTATAGCCCCAGATTACCATTTTTATAATCCATGAAAACTTTTAACAGCAACGTTACCCGGGTTAAATTTATAAAAAAAAACTTTTTTCCAGAAAACAAAAAATAACAACTCTTGTACCTTTAACTAAACTTCCATTTCAAAAAGAATTTCTATTACGAAAACATACTCCTATTTTTCAAAATTTTATTTTTAATTTTAAGATTTATATTAAAATAATTTCTAATGAATTAAAAAAATATTACATTTCAACTACTATCTATAGATATTTATTTAAAACTAAATTACATTTCATATTTATTATCTATAGTTTTATCTAGTCACCTAACTCCAAGTCAATACAAAAGAAAATAGCATGAAAACAAAAATCTCAAGCCCAAATTCTAGTCAGTAGTGTTAAAAACAAAACAATTTTTAATAATAATAATAATTAATAAAAAAAAGTAGTTTTTATTACTTAAAATGAAATGATTGACAAACATAA